TCAAGAATGTTACAGTCAAATATGCCAAGGCTGCAAAACTGCAGCTAGTTGGAATACCAGACAATATATATATATATATATATATATATATATATATATATATAAAAGATCTCTAAAAGTTAAAAGAGATGGCCGTAGAAGGAAAGAAATGAAGGTGCAGCTGCAAATGCCTCTGAATTGGGCTTTGCCCAGTTGCATGAATGTCAGATCTGCACTACATGGAACTTACAAAAGAGTGGGTTGACTAGAATATATAAATATAAATATAAAATATATATATATATATATGTGTGTGTGTTGTGTGGCTAGCTATAACTGATATATATACTTCACCCGAACTAGATTCTATCCAAGGAATGAGACCATCACCATAGAGGAATATATAAGAAATCTCAATATTAAAACATCAAATTCAGATGATGGATGCATGCACTGCTGTCAATGTCCATGTAATATATATATATATATATATATATATATAAAAGAAACTTCTCAACATTTTCCAAAGACGATAGCTATATGCTATTTGTGAATTGATATATAAGAAACACGAACATATAATATATAATAATTTAAAATTTAATTCAATCGATTTATATAATGATTTTTAAAATGTAATATTTAATAAATTCAAAATTTAAATTATAATATTTGAAAATTTTTTATTTTTAAGTTAGGATATCTTTTGTAAAATTAAAAATAAAAATAAAACACATTATAGTATATAAAATGATAAGGAAAACAGATAAATATGCACTATAAATCCTGGAAGGCTTACATTAATAGAGTACAAAAAAGCATGAGCATTTTCATTTTGGTGGGGATCGGCAGGATCTATTTGGAACATGTAGTCTATTATAATAACAACTACTTGATGTTTGTCTTGTGCAGGCCAAAAAGAAAATTCATGGCTTAAACAATCTGAACATATCTAAACGATTCTAGCAGCAAATCAAAGAGAAGTCCAATCATCTTTTCCGTAGACTCACTCAATCAGGCTTGATGCCACCTTTATTCCCAAAATTTGATCGAATTGTACGAACAGAACTGACATCTTAGGGCCTGCAAAGGGGATATGAAAATATTGTTAGCCCCTTTGAAATGACGGTGCGTACCACATTAGTTCTTTTGTCCTTTTTTTGCAAGTTAAGAGGAACTGTTCTATCAATCCATCATCAAGAATCAAGATCAGATTTAGTTAGATTTTGCAAATTTCTGGTATGATCAGATTATATCTAGATATCCATGCACGTGTTAAATTCAATTCCTTTAAAAAATGACAAATTAATTTTAGACATATAAAATTGAAAAACCAATTCGAATTTGAAAAATCATTTCAATTTGTTTAAACTTAAAATCAATTGATTAGATTTCATTATAACAAACCAACAATCTAAATTCGTTTAACTTGACTTTGAAAGTAATTCGAACTTGAATTATTCAATTAAAAATTAACCTAAATTTATTCAAATTTAAATTGGTTTAATTCTAAATTTTAATAATTTAAGCTCAAAATCAAAAAGTTTTTTAATCTCAAATGACTTTGATTTAAACCTGATCTGCCTCCACCTCTACCGAAATCTCAATGAGATGTCAAAGAATAACTAACAGTCCTGGGAATCATAATCAATCTTGCAAATATTTGTGGGACAATAAACGTGATTAAAGAACAAAGCACGCGAAAGTTTTGCAACCCTTAAGAATATGTTTATATATAATATTATACCCTTTTTACAAGTGATATATATATATATATATATTTATTTACTTATTTTGTTCGGTAATTAAAAGGTGTCAAACAAATATGGGAGAATCATTATTCAGCTTTTTTTCATGCGTTGGGTTTTGGATAGAAAGGAATTCCTTGTGTTTTTTGGTATCTACAAAAGAAAGTTAAAAAAATAAAGCTAAACGAGTATAATATATTTGTGTGTTGCATCAACCTTTCCATGCTTTTCTCTCTTTTCCTTCTTATAAGAGCAAAAGGGAATATTAATAGAAAGAGAGCAAATTGTACAAGGACTGGCATGTACCTCACCAACCCAGAAACCCTAATATGCATGGGATGCCACGATCCGTCCTCGCATGCTTTGATGTTTATCTTTTTCGTGCCGTGAAATTGACATTCTTTTGCCAAATGCTGGACCTTATCTTATCTCATCTTATCACCCATGCATGCACACCTAGACATGCTTATATCTTGCATGCATAGATATACTTATTTGGTAGCACATATATAACACTGCATATAATTAAAATGAAAATATGTCAATTTTGGTGTCAATTAATTAGTAGTAACAGTTTCCCATGTATAAAATTTGAACAATCTATTAAAAAAGTTTATATTAAATATCTAACTTTAAGATCAATGTATTTCTATTTTTAAACCCAGAATTTAATTTAATTAATTCATACAATCATCTTTAAAAAATGTCATCTAACAAATTTGTTATTTAAATTTTAATATTTATAACTTTTTTTTATTCTTAAATTACGATCCTTTTTATATAAAAAATATATATTTATTATTCAAACGCGTTATCTTATCCATGAGTATCCAGCATTGATGAAAAAAATGCATGATTATTGCATGCAATTTACATAATACAAATGAAGAAAACTGAGAATTCCAAATGCGTATAAGCTAGGTGAAGGATGGATATGATGTATAATACGATCAAGTATTGTTATATAAATGACCCTACAAAATTTGGCTCTTGGCCTTGCCATTGGGACGATTATGGGACTGCTTCTTTATTTATAACGTTTGTATAATTTATAGTATCTATGTATTTTAGATTAGTTGGCTGGATACATTACCCAGACATGAAAACAACTTGTCAGAAAAGGGTATATTTTTGTTTGAAATACGTATGTTTTTGCCATTATAATAAAACAAACAAGATTCCAACTGGTGACTAAGAGTTTCAAAAAAAATAGTGAAAAAACTTTTGAATTTTTTTGATAATGATGAGATTTTTCCAGAGAAAGCATATACATATAATATATATTGTACAAAGGAAATGCATAGAATAATGGCAGCTGCTGAATTTTCTTTATCAGCCACACTGTTTCAATTGGTGAGACATAATTCTCTAGCTTGATCATCCACAGATTTTGTTCCATATGGTGGAATTATTATATTATATTATTATTAATTTATATGAAAAGGAAAAAAATTAAAAAAATTAGAAGTACATGAAAAAAAATAAAACTATGTATTATACTTCTAGAATGGATGATTTTGGGTACCTCACCTTAGGGCATCTATAAAATAAATAAATAAATAAATAAAAACTATGTGCTATTGAAAGTGAGAGAGGCTTGGCTCACACACAAAAAAAAAAAAAAAGCGAAGATCTTTTTCACAAAAGAAAATTCTATCATGTGTTTTTATAGGTTTTTTTTTTTTTAAGCCTCCCAGTATTCGATAAAAGTCAAGCCAGATCAAACCCCATGAGAAACATAAACTCTCCAAATACTTATTTTTTTCATTTATAAAATTTAAAATCGAGACCTTACTAAAAGAGAATCAAGCTCCTTAGCCACTCAGACCAATAGACATTAATGTCTTTATATGTTTATTATCTCACAAAATAACATTAGATTTTAGGGTTCTATAACCTTCTCTTTACCACTAAATCAATGCGTCATTAGCAATCACTGTGCATAAATATTTATTGTTAATTTATTTTAATTATTTTCCCAAATATATATAACAAAGAATAATTTGCCTTTAATTAATTGTATTGAAAACCAATAACAGTATGATCCTAGATGAGCGAAATTATTTTATTTATTGTCAATAAAATTTTTAAACTCCACAAATAAAATTAGTAGGATAACACATGTCACCTATGATATATTAAAAAATAACTAAAAAAAAGTAGAATACATGTTAATCTCTTAACTTCATTCATAAAATTAAAAAATTCACTAGATAAAACCATTAATAAATATTCAAAATAAAGTAATATATATGCAATCCTTATCATTTCTCAAACGGTTTCAAGTTTCCCTTTCTCTTGCTAGCAAGAATAATATATAGGTTGTATGATTTTCTCCACACTCTTCTCTCTCTTTCAAATAGCTTTCTATTTTCATTTCTAATAGGGAATTTATGCGCCTCTCTGAATATAACTACAGCAACAACAAATAATCCAAGAAACAACAAAGACAAGGTCCCAATTGGATAAATCCAACTGCTTTCTCCAACTCAGAAGATGCCTCCATGATAGCAACAACCAAAATTAAACTCATATCCTATCCTATGATTTATAATAAACAAAATACACCATATATAACAATATATATTTAATTGTTACTAATTACCTCAAAATTAATGGAGATCACAAGTTTATTTTTACATATTTTACAAGAGAGATTACAGTCAGGAGATATATAAAGGGGTGAAAGATATTGGGATTTAAATTCCAAATATTTTGGATGATTAAATGGACCAACTGAATTAAACATTTGGTTCCACTTAGCTTTTTTCACATATATACTACATCTACATAAATTGAATGAGTTCAAACTTTCGTATGTGATCTAATTCAAGAATTTGAAAACTTTCTAATAACTTACAAACAAAAATTTTTAAAAAAAAAATACACAAGTTATTATTCTATGCACTATTCGAATAGTGATTTTAAAACTTTATATCGAATCCAAATTTGTGTAATGAGACATGTGATAAAAAATTAGATTTGTTCGTAAACATTTTTATGTTGATTGATTGGTAATATATATGATAGAATAGTAATCCAAAATGTTAATGATCTGTCACAAGAGAATATTTTGAGGCAAAGGTAACAATTATAATGAAATTTTTTCGCCGTACAAAGGCTACATCTCTGTTAATTTTCCGTATCAAAAAGATTCGTTTCCTTTTGTCTGGCTATGGAGGAAGGCTTTGATCGCTTTCATGTATGATCTAAGAGGACAAAGAGTGGAGTTGGAAACCGACCCAAATATCTAATGGAACATTCTCTCATTTTTCTTTTCTATTTCCTTCAAACCTTTATTTTCATGCCAACCCAATGCCACAATTCCTATATAAATCAGTGCCGATTGGGCATTCAAAGCACCTCACAGACTCAACAAAAAACTTCAAAGTAGCCTTTCACTTGCAAAAACCCTAGCTGTACATCTTTTGGCATTGTTTCCATTTTAGCAATGGAAAGTGTGAAAATTTTGGCATCGGAGAGGCCGGTGGTGATCTTCAGTAAGAGTTCTTGCTGCATGTGCCACACCATCAAGACCCTTTTCTATGACTTTGGGGTGAACCCTGCAGTCCACGAGCTCGATGAGATCCCTAGAGGACGTGATATTGAACAAGCTCTCTCGAGGCTCGGTTGCAGCCCTTCCATTCCAGCCGTGTTCATTGGTGGTGAACTTGTTGGTGGTGCCAATGAGGTCATGAGTCTTCATCTTAATCGATCCTTAATCCCAATGCTTAGACGAGTTGGAGCTCTTTGGGTTTAATCCATAAAATCCACTAACTTGCATGTCGGAGCACCAATAAACATGTGATTATATATACTAGATAATCACATTTAGATCCATAAGAGCATAGGCTTCAAGTCTAATTAACACTATAATGTATCCAACATACCTACTTTATATGGTCTTACTAATTTATGAGTCTACTTAGCATGTATGTCATCTTTTTGGTAATGTACTAATATGTTTTTTTGAGAAATAAAAGTTATGGGTTACATTAACAATATTCTATATCTAAAAATGCAAGTCCTTGGGCCTTTTTTTTTTCTATATTGTTATCACCTTATTCAATCTTTTAATAAAATATTTCTATCCTTGCTTTTAAAAAATAATATTCATCTCTTAACCTTTAAATGTCTTAAAACATTACTTGATTTCTTTGTCAAAATAATAATTTTAATTTAAAATCCCTCCTCTTCAAAGTATGAAACTTGTAAAATTCACCATTTCTTCAACCAATCTACATGGGCAAAACTTGATTAAATATGATTAAACTAGTAAAACCAATGCTTGGATTGTAGAAAATATATAAATATAAAATTGGGTTTTTCATATAAGATGAAAATGGATTTGGGTTGCAAAATTTTTGGCTAAATGGGCCAAAACTCTTTAAAAAGCAAGAAGTTGGTGGGGGAGGGCTTGAATCCAAAGTGACACATGTGGTGGAGACTTGAGGGGAGATTGGATCCTCTGCTATAGGCTATAGAGGGCAGCTGCAACTTGAAAAAATAAATGACTTTCTTTTTTTCTTTTTGTTTTTGACACAGAATCCAAAGTCATCTTTCCATGTTTTTTATGACTGTTCTGCGGTCACTCTTTTCCATGTTTTTTATCACTGCTCTTCAGTCACTCTCAACAGTTATTACTACTATTAAAATTTCACATTATTTTTCTTAGAGTTGAAAATCTGGAGTTGATCAATAATTGTACGTAGAAAATGACCCTTAATGAAATTTAAAAAATAAATCAGACCATATTAGTATTAATGATTCTAGTTTTATAATATTCCTTGAAATTTGATAAATCAGATCATAAGAATAATTTTTGTCGATTAAGATCAGATCTTTTAATAATATTTAAAAGTAATTTTTTAAATATATAATATGGAAGAATATATCATTAAAATTGTTTTAAAAAATTAAATTTAACTAAAATTTGAAGATAGATTACCAAAAAAAAAAATTTATTCAAGCATGAGGCAATGATTTTTAAGGAAAAAATATATTATCAAACAAGAACGGTAAAAACGGTGAATTAGAAGCATTTACAATTTAACTATATATATATATATATATATATCTTTATTATTACATTTTCATGGTACTATGAAAGCAAACTAGCACTAGACTGGTACCTAGTTGTTAGACAGACCATCCCAAGAAAATCTTGGTAAAGGATCTCATCATCAAACAATAACCAACAGGACAACCATTCACTTCACCTTCACCACTTCACTTCCCTCTCTCTCTCTCTGAGTGTCATTTGCTTTGCTTTAGTTGCTATCTCTCTGTCATCACCACTTACAGAAGGTCAGGTACAGCTTACTTCCTCAAAATCAAAACCCACTTCCATAAGTGAACCCTGTCTCTTCATTTTCTGAATGGCTCATTAATTCATTTTCTTTTCTTTTATTCTTTGTTTTCTCAGCAACCCAACTCAAGTACGAGGTTGAAGGTCAAACCTTTTGTGTCAGGTTGAGCTAAGTCCATGGTTCTGGAGGATTGTACTTTGTTGCTGTTTAAAAAGAACTTGGATAAGTAATCGGGGTTTAATCATTTTATCTATGTATTGACTGGCTGTTAGGCTTTTTAGTATTTTAAGTTGTTTTTCTAGGTGATAATGTAGCTTCATTTTTTGGAAATTTTAGGGTTTTATTTTCTGGTTTTTGATCCAAAGACGTTTCCTTTGCTACATCAAAGCGTCTGCTTAGATGAAAATATTTAGCTTTTCCCGTAGGCGCATGAAGCTTGGCAGGTCAGTTTCTTCTTTTCATTAGTTGACTTGTTAGTCATATTTTCTTTTTCATTTTTCTTGCTCTGAATTTCGATTATTTATTTAAATATATGTTCTTTGTTCAAGATTAGTATTTTTATGCGAAAGAAAATAAATTGCAAGCTTAATTAAAGAATGCCCAAATCCCACTTTTTCATGAAGAAGGCCTCTTTTTGTTGTGTATTGCACACTTATTTGGTACATTGCTGTGTTGATTTAGAGTGAAGAAAGTACAACTTTCAGAGTCTGCTCATGGAATTAAGAGTCCTATAAGACCGCCCAAACGAAGCAACACTGCCAATGTGAGGCTTTTGACTTGTTTGATTTGGTTTGGTACTGGTGGGCATGTGTATAAGGTGCTAAAGCCTTCAAATTTGTTTCAGGTAGAGTCCACTATGCCTGCTAGTAGTCATTCTCATGAATTTGACTCCCACAGTCCAACTGTCCCTGAGATTAATTCATCAGTGAACTCTGAGAATTGGATGGTGTTGTCAGTTGCTGGGGAAAGGCCTGTGCCACGCTTTAATGTAAAACATTGTTGCTTTTCAATTTCTAATGGCTTCATATCTTAGTTGTTAATTCAACTTTTACATATCAGCTATGATGGAAGTGTTGAAAACTTTACTTGTTCTTTGAGTAGCATGCAGCTGCTGTGGTGGGGAACAAGATGATAGTGGTTGGTGGTGAATCTGGGAATGGATTGTTAGATGATGTGCAGGTAAAAACATGTTAATAGTTTGTAATTTTTGAAAATTATGTCTAGTTTACTTGACATGGTGCAAGATCTGTCACAAATTGTTACCTTAAATCCTATAATTCTTTCCTGTTTTTATTGCAGGTTCTTAATTTTGATAATTTTTCCTGGACCACAGCATCATCCAAGCTTTACTTGTCCCCAAGCAGTCTACCATTGAAGATCCCTTCATGCAAGGGCCATAGTCTGGTAAAATCATAGTGACATATTCTATTGTCCCTGATAGAATATTCTCTTTGCTTTGCATACCATATATGCTGAATTGTTGTTACTACATGCTTTTCAACTGAGGTGTTTTCTGCAGTGTGCTACATAGGATACGGCATGTGTACTGAGGTTAATAGGATTCTCGTGCCACTGCTATGTCTACTAATTAGACTTAATTTTTATTGTATATTGTTTCTAATTTAATCGTTTGGTTAAATTGATTGTGCTACTTTGTGGTATTATTGTGCTGGTTCTTGTTATTTCTAACAAGTGGGATGTGAAGCGTTAGTAGTGTTGATATGCTCAAGCTTTTTTGTGTTTTTTCCTTGCCCAGGTTTCATGGGGGAAAAATGCCCTCCTGGTTGGAGGCAGAACTGACCCTGGGAATGACAGAGTTTCAGGTTCAAGATTAGAATCTTCTGAATCATGCTATTATCACTTTGTCTTTGTACATGGTGTAATGCATTTTCTGTTCTCAATTTTGGTTTTTGCAGTATGGGCATTTGATACAGAGACAGAATGTTGGTCAGTTATGGAAGCAAAAGGAGAAATACCGGTACTCTTTTCTAACTCATAAATGGCCAATTTACATGTAAAGTAGCATTTCTTGCATTGATATCAAACATCATAAAAAACAAATGCCAAATGGGTAAGAACAGTAAATTGTAATGAGCAATACATTCATTGGATAGAGCTATAACACTGGCATGTCGTAAACTTACATCGTATCATTGTCTTTTGTCGATGCTCCATCTTTCTCGTTTGCTATTTCATTGACAAACTATGGGTTTTACTAATTTATAGAAGTAAGCATTCCTAGAAAACATTGTCATGCCTTCCAGGTTGCTCGAAGTGGTCACACTGTGGTCAGGGCAAGCTCCGTTTTAATCCTTTTTGGGGGTGAAGATGCTAAAAAGAAGAAACTGAATGACCTACATATGTTTGATCTGAAGTCTTCAACATGGCTCACCCTTCAATGCACGTGTGTAGCTCTAACATCTTCCATTATGTTTCTTAATTAAGCCCGTGTACTTGATGTCACTTTGCTGATAGAGAAATCTGGCTCTTATCCATGCAACGTAAGACTAAATGCAAGAAGCTTCTAAGCAAAGAATCTTTTGTACAGGGGAACAAGACCATCTCCAAGATCCAATCATGTGGCAACTCTTTATGATGATAAAACTCTTTTCATCTTTGGTGGAGCATCAAAGTCCAAGATACTGAATGACTTGTACTCACTTGACTTTGAAACGGTGTGTAAAAATTTTAGCAATCTTGCCATGTTTATGTTAGATTATATTAGCTTGTAATGGTTTTCTTATAAGTACTTTTTTGTCAGATGGTATGGTCTAGAATAAAGATACGTGGTTTTCATCCGTCGCCAAGAGCTGGTTGCTGCGGAGTTCTGTGTAGAACAAAATGGTACATATCAGGCGGTGGAAGTAGGAAAAAAAGTATGCCCCGTACTATTAAGCATGTACTAGCACCTGAAAGTAATTATAAGTGTCGATGAAAAAATCATCGTAGATGAATTTGATTACCTCTTTTTCTTGCATATTTTGAAATGGTTGAACCTGTAATTGTGCATCTTTTGCATTCATTTTTACTTCTTATTTCCTTAACATATATGGTTTGGAAATGTTTACAGGACATACAGAGACTTTCATCTATGATGTTTTAAAGTCTGAGTGGTCTGTGGCCATTGCATCACTTCCATCTTCAATCACAACTAACAAGGTCAACATGCTGAATTTATTCTTTTGCACATTTGTTCTTTTGCACAAAGCGTGTGATTCTTTAAATGATTTGATACCCTCATACCACATGATGTGAATTATATATGACTGGAATTCCTGTATGTTGTCTTTTTGGTATAAGATTGCAAACTTGACTGTTAGAGACGATCATCCAGTTTTCTGGTTGGTCATTGATTTGAAGTTAAAAACAGAAAATTCTGATAGGATTTTGTTTAAGCACAATGTAATCATTTTTCACTAGTGAACATTTCTTAATAAAAGGTACCTGTCATTGGTCATAAGACATGGGGCCTTATTGTTCTTAAGATAGTTGTTCTGGCAGGGATTTAGCCTAGTACTCGTGCAGCACAAGGATAAGGATTTTCTTGTTGCATTCGGCGGATACAAAAAGGAGCCATCAAATCAGGTTGAAGTTTGAATTCATATACTTAGAATGATTAGATTGTGTTTAAATTGTAATTCCTTCTTTGTCTGTTACACAGGTTGAAGTACTGATCGTTGAGAAGAATGAATCATCCATGGGCTGGCGATCTACTCCTGGTAAATCTGCGGGACAAATGCAGTTTGGAAAACGCTCGTCATCTGCAGGGTCGGCTAGCCAACCTGTTAACGGTTCTTCCCAACGTTTGGTTAACTCTGCTGCAAGACAAAATCTAGCGTCTGTAATTGAACATGATTCTGGTAGAAGATCGTTGTCAGAGTTGTCACTTGTGGATCAAAATCCTCTTTCTGGAAAAGTCTCACTACGGAAGCAATTTCATAATATGGAAGAATACAACACAGCTGTTAGAATAACAAAGTGTTCAGAGGACATAAGTTCTATTCTACAGGTAATTGTAAAAGCTTCATTTAATTAACTGTTGCCTTCAAGATGATTAACATCCATTAATCTCTGCTCAAACTTGAAATGGCACCTTCTACTTTGCCATCGAAATATTCCATTAGCATAACATATTTTTGTTGTTTTAGGCAATAGAACAAAAAACAAATCAATCTGATACGGGAATTCAGATTCATGCTCCTGGGACCAAAATCAGTTCAGACAAATCACTCCTATTTGGATCTGAAAGTTCAAATCCCCAGGTTAAACGGATCATAAATGTTCCTGTTGATAATGATAATTTTGTATTTCCAGAAGCGGATGATAAATCAGGAGCCGTATCAGCTCCTTCAAGCATATATCAATTTTATGAGACAAGAATGGCTGCCCTTAGTAGAAAAAATGGAATTTTAGAAGTACAGTTGGCAGCTGCATCAGCAAGCCAAGACAATGCAGAAAGAAATTTAGCTTCCTCTCTCAAGAGCAAAGAGGAGATGGAGAAAAGATTTGCAGACACAATGAAGGAGATGGAATTGCTAAAAGAGAAACTAGCTGGTACAGAACTTGCTCAAGAAGAGGCCAACAGGTTATCTAACATAGTCCACTCAGACAATGTAAGGCTCGAACATGATGTGGCTTTCCTTAAGGCTGTTCTAGATGATACTCAAAAGGTATTGATTTTGTTGTCTTGTGCTATTTAATCATGGAAACATGCATTTTGGATCGTAACTCATTTTTAAGAGTGCCTGATTTGAAATTTATTCTAGGAGCTGCTCTCGGCCAGAGGAGTCCTTGCAGGGGAGAGGGCCAGAGCATTCCAACTACAGGTGTGGCTTTGAACCAAATTGTTTTGGATAAATGGGAAATGAAACTAAGATAAATGCTCTATGGTGGCTGCTTTCATTAGTTTTAATCAAGGGGAGTGCAAAAGCCTGTGTGCCTGGATGCATGTGTTTATCAAACCTGCAGAGGCAAATCCACATGTTTAGCTAGGGTATCCATGGACACCCCCAAAGATTAAAAACAAGAAAATTTTGAAGGAAAATTTCCCCTAAACACTCTTTCCATCATAAAATTGGTAAATCTGTGACAGTTTTCAATACATATTATAAGTGAACATCTCTAAAAAAGAATCCAAAATCCACCACTGCAAACCTGAGGCTAATGCCACTAGAATCAGAGTCAAATTGTATGCCAAATGATCAGAGTCAATTCAAATCTTAGTTTTTGTCCATCAGATGAAGCTCATTCGTTTCTTCATTAATATACTCCCTGGCTTCTCTTTGACCCTATATGTTGCAATTCACCTAATATTGCAATGCAGGTTGAAGTTTTCCATCTCAAACAAAGGTTGCAATCCATGGAGCACCGAGCACCCACTCCTAGGAAACCATTCAATGTATAGTGTCAGACTGAATCTGACTCGTTACAGTCATATCCATATATCTATTTCTGACTAGTTACTGTCATATCCATATCTATTTGCCATACAAGATGGTAGGAGGAACAGTTTGAATCAACAAGTGTTCAATCTGCCTGGAACTGAGCCTACGTCTGCTGAACAAAGGCATGGATATTCATATTCATTTGGTAATTTACTATGTACATATGTATATCGACCATGTCACATGTTTCCTTGGACGCAATCTCTTCTTCTAGTTTGAAGAAACCCCTGCTGTTCAATACTAATGACCTATGGCATGGCTTTGATCTCTGCGGGCTTCTAAGAGGAACTTTGAATAAGTTTTGCGGTAGGAATCTAGCTGCAGACCTGCATTATATTCGAGCCAAACGAATAGTAGCAGGTCAAATGAGGGGAGCTTGCAGCTGCTGAAGAGTTTTAGCCTCTATCTTTCAAACAATGCAAATGGGTGTTTGATTGCTATAGAACTTATGTACATCTTACCAGTCCCAAAGCGCAAAGAATTTGAACCAATCGTCCACTGGAACATGAGGTTCAGGTTCACATTTTCAGATTTCAACACTTTTACAAAGGGTTCATTCATGATAAACCAGAGATAGTTGCAGTAGTAGTAGTTTTGAATAGGCAGTGGAAATTCATAAAATTTAAATGAACTCATATCTTACTGTAACCATATTGTCGACATCTACAAAATCAATTGTATTAGTGATTTGGACCGAAAAATACAAACCATCTATCTATCGCATAACTGATGTGCTTAGTCAAATGAAACTTTTAAAACTTGGTGCAAGTCTCCAATGAATTATGTCAATTTTTAGCCCCCCTTAAAGATTATAAATTTGCTGGAAATGATTTGCTTCAAATGGCAGCAAGAAGTTACCTTGATTCATAATCAGTTTTCTTCTCAACAAATGAATTCAGGATCCTATTCGATTGAAGACCTTGGCCACAAGCTTACAAAAGCTCAGTCTCTTCTTGGTCTGCATCCGCATCTTCAACCTCATTTTCTTCCTCTTCTTCAGGTGCATCTGGATCCACTCCCTACAAGAAGTCACTCGCTTACTCTCTCTGCATATCTATGATTAGCATGCCTATATGCCTCCAGACACACACACACACACACACACAAAAAAAAAATCTTAAAAACACCCCCTTCCCCTTATAAATGAAAAAAGAATGGACAGCACAAGCACAATACAGACCTTCATCTGCTTTTCCAGGCGTTCCAACCCTTTTTTCGCAGCTTCATTCTGAGGATTTATTCTGCAAAATGCATTAGACATTAAATTGCATTCATTAAAAAGGGAATAGCAGGCTTTTTTTGAAAGGCATAAGAAATTCTATTAATGGGGAAGTTTAACAGCAAATAAAGCAATAGCAGTTTTCTCTGTCAGATTATTTGACATGAAAGCTTCCTTTATAATCATTCAAAGTTCTCGTCATGTGCAGTCTATAAACTAGAATAAGAGAAAATTGGAGCATATCCTGAGTATGAATGGACCTCAATGCCGATTGATAATGTGACAAGGACTCTTGAAGCATATTTGTGGCAGCAAATACTTGAGCCAGTTTGACATGAAGAGAGTCATCAGCCCAATCTTTGAGATAACGTTCAAGTAGAGATACGGCATCTCTATTTTGGCCCTCAATGACATGGAGCTCAGCTAAAGCTAATGCAGCTCCAAGGTAACCAGGTTCCAGCCTGAGCGCTGATTCATAGAATTTTTTTGCCTGTTACCAGTTTCAATTAGAGTAAAACTTATTAAAATTTACTTTCAGTGGCAACATCTAGTCAAGTAATGCTAAGAATAGTCTATTACAGGTTTACCTTCTCCCTGCCACTGGAATTGCTAGCATGAACATCACCAACTAATTTCAGTGCCTTTGCAGAATGAGGCATTGCCTTCATTGCCTCTCTAGCAGCATAGAGGGCCTCCTTGACTTTAGAAAATGCCAGATACGACTGAACTAAACCTGAAATTATAACAGTCAGAGGTTTGCCAGGCCTCCATAATCTCATGATTCTTTCTTTTTTAGAATATAACTGCATCAAACAAATAGAAGACAGTAATAGGGATAAGATGAATCTTATGCAGCTGAATAGTGAATTTGCACATTTTTTGTCCTTAAAACTCAAACCTTGATACGAACGAAGATCAGCTCTCAATTCTTGAGCTCCCCTGAAGGCCATTACAGCAGCTTCTGGCCGCTTCAATGATAAGAGCAGGTTACCCTAACAGCACACAGAAAAATATAGAAATTGAGAAAATAGAATTATATTGCCAGGAAAAACAAACACCCAGAGAAAGCTTTAATGAGGATAATCACCCACTCTGTTGGATGGAAAACCTTTCAATACCTTCATTATATAACCTGGTATGTGCCTCTCATCAATTTTGATGCTCTGATAGCAAACAATATAAGTGAATATGTGAGATATATAAATATTTACAAGAGGAGGAGGGGGAGAGGACTGTTACGGATGAACCAGCTAACCTTTTCAGCATAAGATAGAGCACCCTTTTCATCTTTCCTTTCCCACAATACAGATAGAGCCGCAAAAACCTCGGGTCTTGTAGGATCAATACTCAGCAAATCATGCACTAACTTATTCAACTTTGAATAATCAGACTTCATCTTTAGAAGCATTGCATACTCATCCATGTAAGTCATAACATAAGGATCAATGGATCGAACCTACAAGGACCACAGACTCAAATTTGTTACCATACATGAGTCAAAGTGTAAGCATAGGCAGAAAAAGACTTGAGAATAGTTCATTGACATAAAAGTTAGATATTCTAATCACCTTCTCAAAATTCATTGCTGCCTCATCATTCTTTCCAATGATGGCTTCAACCTGGATATAGGAACATGTATTAATTAATAGAAAGTTAATTAAAAATCGAATGATCTAGATAATATAAACAGCCCACAACTAGCAAGATTTAACATTAGTGATCATGTTCATAAATACTCTTCCAGCCTTTTCTTATCCATTCTAAGCTAAAGTCAACCATTAGTTTTCTTTCCTACTAAGCTGAAAAAGGAGCAAATAAACAAGCTGGATTTATTAGAATGCAACCATCCCTAACCTTTGCCATTTCAAGCAATATGTGTATGTTATTAGGGAAACGTTGTAAAAGTTCTGTAAAGAGTTCCAAACCACCTGCAAAAGGATTTAGGGGAAACAGGAATCCTAATGAAAAGAAATTAATAAAGCAGATAAATTAACAAATATATCAGAATAGATAACCTTTGCTTGGCAACATCCATAAATACGAAAAGTTCTAGATTATTAAACCTTACAATTTGAAAAGAAAGTTATCTTACCTTTGTAATCATTTGAAGCAATGCAACATTGTGCCTCAACATACCGCTGCACAAAATCAGCAAATTACTAAGAATTCTGTCAAAGCAGAAATTAGTATTGACATAAGCACTGAAACTAAAATAATAATGCACAAGATAACACCAAAATAACTGAGTGAAGCATTATTTTTCTGAAAAACCATTATAACAGTTTCCAAATCCATATTTTCATTGTTTATCAAGGAACATAAAGCTAATAAGTAGCTCAATATGGAGCAGAATGTCACCCATTTTATTTTTTTTCTTACTTGCAGCCAACGGCTTGAATCACCATGATCTAATTGAGCCCTCCCACTTCTATATGGGGTCTGGAATTATACAATAGGAACACGAAGATGTTAGGTAACAAAGATCTATGACTACAAAAACCAAACAAAAAAATTAATTGTAGTAAAAAAAATGAAGCTAATAAGACACCAAATAGTCAACAAATCTAGTTAGGAACCTCATAGCATTACTTTTGATTTTAAAACTTGAAAATATGTTCATAAGAAGAACTTTGGGTTAGGAAGAAATAATTTGCATTCCACAAAATCATGTTTTTGACAACCAAAGATTCAAAACAAAAGGAAAATCTCCTGCTTAAGGTGTTTACTGCACTACACATTGCAGCTCTCAAAGTTTAATAACAGAGTAGACTGCACTACCATATAAGTTAACTTCTCTTGAATGAATGAAAAAAATGACTAAATGAGTGTATCCATGCAACTTGAACAATGACAAATGACATGTGAAAAACTAGAAGTTTACTAGTAAGAACTCTACTGCAGCCTGCATGAGAATGACAAATCCAGAAAAATGCTTCCCATTTTGACCTTCTAAACATGTCTATATGGAGCACAGTGAAAATTCAATACAATCTGAAATTAAAAACCTTATGCAAACTCAAAGGCATACAACATCAAAGAAAAAGTACATCTTGCATACTTAACTACCTGGCTAGACACAGGGACAAAGCATAGCACTTATATTGACAAACCTGAGGGAACAATGAAATTATATCCTTGGCACTGGCCCCTAATTCAGCCAAGGCAATGATAGCCTCAATGACATAAGGACATTGCCTGCCAAAGAAGAACCCAAAAGACACATGCTTTCAGAAAGTTAGCACAATAAATTTTAGTGAATACCAGTAAAAACAAAGGGAAAAGCAATAACTATTAGACACACTATCCATAAAGAATAAAGAAACATCAGGAAAATAGGAATAAAATTGACAGACCTTAAACATTCCCTGTAACATGTAACAGCACCGCGGTTATGTTTAGTATTTCGATAAAGCTTTGCCATCAATAAACTCATCTGCAAATTTCTTGCTTTGCTAGGTATTCCCTCCATCTGCAATTTCAAAGTAATGAAAAATGCAGATTTCAAAAAAAAAGTTGAAAGAAAAGTAGAGGGGATGAATAGTGAATTAAACTTTAAATCAAAATCCATTAAACAAATATTTAGGAATCCAAAATACAAGCTCCATCAAAACAAGTCAACAAAAACAATAAAACAGAGAAATAAAGATAGAAATGAAGAAAACCTCTGCAAGGGCCACTTTAATTTCACTTAGAGCAAAATGACAAGAAGCAATTTTGAACTTCACCTGTCATGGAAAATGAAACAAAATTGCAATAAGCGTTTTAGTCTCAACATTCAAAAATTTCAGCTTACAAGAAAAAGAAAAGAGCTCAAAGAGAATTCATAAGAGAAAATACCTCGTTTTCATTTATCGCTGAAATGTTAAAAGAATTCGGAGAAGAAGACCGGTTTGAGGCAGACAATGAGCTTCTAGAAGTTGTTGAATTTTGCTTGGGAATAATCTTGTAATACTGCAGGGCTTGTTTGTATGTATGCTGAAAACATATAGGAAAAGGCAAAAAATTAAAGCAACTCTGACTTCATTACTCGATCAATCTCCTCCGAAAATCTAATCACTCTAGCACATGAATCACATTTTCTATATAAAGCCATCTCTTCCCAAAGACAACATTATATACAAACTCGAAAATTGATTTTTTTTTAATTAACAACATAAAATTATATAAGATAAATGAAACAAAACAATTTAAAACTTAAAAAATTAATCTTGTAATACTGCAAGGCTTGCTTGTATGTATGCTGAAAGCATATAGGAAAAGGCAAAAAATTAAAGCAACTCTGACTTCATTACTCTATCAATCTCCTCCAAAAATCTAAGCACTCTAGCACATGAATCACATTTTCTATATAAAGCCAACTCTTCCCAATGACGACATTATATACAAACTCGAAAATTGATTTTTTTTTAATTAATGACATAAAATAGATATAAAGATAAATGAAATGAAACAATTTAAAACTAAAAAAATTAATTTAAAAAAATATAGCAGCTCATTCATATTTCATACTAAAGCTGTTCATCTACCGGGAACAAATAAAGATACTCTACAGTTGACTGATTTTGTTCACATTATCCGAAAACGAGTCCATTTATGTCAATTTTTTTGCCAGTAAATCAGAGGAAAAAATTATTCAAAAGTAAAATGAGCTTACAATTGTTCTACGGTACTCTCTCTCCCGAAACAAAGCATCGCCAAGAAGAATCTGCAGAAATACACAACAAAAATTGAGGAAAAAAAAAGAATCATTTAGCATTTAAAAACTCATTTAAAACAAAAAAAAAAAAGGAAAATTGGAATAAATCGATACCAGATTTTCAGCCTTGAGATGTGGACTAGTTTCGGCATTAACGGTAGATGATGAAACAAGAAAAGAACCCTGTCAAAACCAAACCAAAAAAAGATCAATCAGCGAAGTAAATATTTAAGTTCGGTTTATTTTAATAATAAATAACTAATACATAAAAAAAAAAAAAAGAGATTACGAGAACTTGAGCGGAGCCAAAGAGAGCATTATCGAGAAGAGCAGCGATTTGCTCCTTTGGGACGTCCATTTTCTAGAGCAGCAACAGAGACAGTAAAGGTTTTTTTTTTTTTCTTTCCTTTTTATTTTTAAAAGATGAGAAGAAAATTTGACAATACGTAATTGAAATTATGCCAAACAACCCGTCCCGTTTTTTCATTTTAAAACCCCGGTTTTGCCCCTGAAAAAGAGCAAAGTGCGCCTCCTTCTATTTAAAAAAAAAATAGTTTTTTATTGAAAAAATTCGAAAAATTAATTCTAGTAAATATAAAACTCAAAAATTAAATATCGTAATTCATATCCATATATTAAATACAAAACTTATTTTTTTATTTTTTTAAACTTATAAATAATATTTGCTAAAATTTTAATACAATTCATATATTTGTGTTTATTTATTTAATATTAAATACATGTAAAATATAAAAATTAAAATATTATAATTTATGTCAATATGTTAAATATAAAATATATATTTTAATTTTTTTCAAATCTATCTAAATTTTTATTAAAATTTTAGTACATGTCACTTTCTTTTCTTTTTTTTTGTATCATTGATTTTTTGGCCATATCTGTGGCTTAAGAGATCAGTTCCTTCACAGTTTACTATAGTGGTAGTTAGTTGTCTATTACTTGGGGCTTTGCTTCAAGTTCTGAAATGGTGGCTGGTATCCCCAATGGTCCGCTGATGCCTGCGCTATCAGTTGCTTGAACAATGGTGTAACATGACTCAGCTTAGTAAGGGATTGATCATCTGAAACTAAGATTTACTTAATGAATCGAATTTCATTAGCTTTTGTCTTGGTACAGGCAGCTTTCAGATCATATATCTTACCAGTTACAACAAAGAAGATTTTGTTAGTACAAGCAGGATTTTGATCAGACAGGCAAATCAACATTCTTCCCCTGGCTCTTCTTCTTCTTGGAGAAGGTTTTCCCTGTTGTCATGAGCCCAAAATCCCCGCACATCTACGAGCTTGCTGGCGATAGTACCACCCTGTTTACAAGCTAGGAGGTCAGCCAGTGTAATCATCAGTGGATCAACTGGCTTCACCATATCCCATATCTCATCCCTCACATCCTCAATGCACAATTCACAGTTGCCCCCTTCAATCCATTTCTGGTGTACATCTCTGTTTCAAGATGGTAAAGGTGGTCTGTGTTAAAATAAATCATTAATCCTAGGTCAATGAGAGCTATTACTAAAGAGCAGAATTTGATTCCGAGTTTAATCTATGGTTCATTGGTTAATCATTCATGTCTATGGAGATATGAGACTTGCAGAAGCTTGCTCAAAGTACTACAAACAGGAAATTACAGGGTTTTCTGTAGGAAGATTGTATCAGGAAACATCTCATCTCTTTGATGCTGCCCTTCTTCACTTCCATGTTTGTAGCTACGTTTGATAGCTCAGGAGAGGGAATAAAACTCTAGCTCTTAGCAACAGGTCAAAGCGGATAATAAAGATTCGAACGACGGTAGCCAAAATAAAACTTCCATGTGAGTATATGAAGAGGTCTTCACCTGAAAAGATAATGAATATCTGCTGATGTGAGGAATCCTCTACCATGAAGATCAAGACAGCGAAATAAATATGTTAAACCTTCTGGAGTGTCTTTGTTCTCAAAGGCCAGAACAAAGTCAAGAAAACTTTCAAAATCCATCTCTCAATTATTTCCAGCACCAGTTTTCCCACGGTGGACATGCTCATCAAATACTATTCAAAGCATAAGAAATCCAAAAAAAAAAAAGAGTAGAAAAACTCAAAACAAAATCCACAATAGCAGAAAGGATTCAACTTCTAAATGACACCAGAAAGAGAGAAACTCAATGATACTTTTGAGTAAAAGAAGATATATGATGGGTTTATTGAACATCCCAAAGTTTAATTCCATTTTTATTTCAAAAGGTAGCTTTTAAAGTAACAACTCTGCTTAAGAATCAAACATAAGAAATCCCTGTAGACCTTGAAAAATAAACAACAGTGTTATATCTTACCTCTTTCGATAAAAATTTCAGTTAGAGTTCAATCTGCATAATCTTTAAGCTCCTGCTTACTCTGTGTTCCGTTCATATCTTTATCAAGGGCAAGAAACATATCTACAGAAGAAATAGTATGCAGTTAGTGCATTATTACATAGTACTCTTCCCTTATATACTATTCAAAGGCTTATGCAATTCCCAAATAGCAAGAAAGAAACTTTATTTCAAAGAATGGAATGCGTAAGAAGTTGCAGTTTATGATCAACTATACCATCAGGGAACGTTGTACATTTGCAAAAGAAAGGATAAACTAAAACAGCAAAGATAGAGGACAATTTCTACCAAAACTGAAAGTGTTCTAAGTACTCACCACATATGCGTTGTGCAGATGTCAAGGAAACCCAATTTTCAGCTTGCTCGGTGTTAGTGACTTCTTCCTCACTTTCCTGCACAGAAGTTTAAAGAGGGAAAAGAAAATATCAAAATAAGAAATACATTTGTCAAACTTAAGTAAAAAAGGATGATATATATACAAGACATATTCATCAATAAAGAACCTGATGTAGTTCCATTGATTCCTGGAGACAGTTGCTGAGTAGCACCTTTCTTATGCAGGCTTTTCCTGCAAGAAATACTAAGTTTTAACTATTTGAACAGCACAATCGAAGCACCAAAACGAATTATAATAGATAAGATATCAGTCCATTTTGGTAAGCAAATTTAGGTCATGCAGACCTCATCCATGAGGATCGCAAAAGAAGAAGAACTTGTGTGCAGCTATGCGACAGCACATTTGAACAAAGGCTGCTGGCATTTCCTGTAGTTGTGCCAGGTTAGGAATAAGACCACGAATATAGCCTTCCCTTTCCTGTACAATATCAAAGTGACTATAGTTCTTATACTTTAGAAATGGTGAAAAACAAACTGATACTGGAGTAGTACCCAATGTGAAAGAGATTACATGGTAAGAAGATCATATAAACACTTGAAGTTGAGGGGCTTCAAGATGCAAAGAATCCTTACATGAGGTTGGAGGAAACCATCTGAATCCTCATCAAGCTCACTCATATATATCCTGGCCCATGTAAGAGAAACCTGAAGAACAATGAATAATAAGCAGCAGTCAAAGAACTACTTCCTCAATAGGAATAACTTAAAAAGGAAAAGCAGATGATATCTAGGTTTCTTCGAACATCATGATTTTAGGACTGCCATCTTTAGTTAACAAAGCAACAGTCCATAAGGGACTGATCCCAAGACTTGCACATGATTAAGAAAGATTGTAAAGTATAATAAAAATTAGTAACATTTTGAAATATTAAAGAAATAAATAAATGAAGCTGAAATGTTAGACACCGATGATAATGATGATGTTGATGAAGAAGTAAAATGAAAGTTCAGGTTTTGAGGACGAACCTTAGATGAGAAAATCGAAGATTTTTTATAATTGTGATGAAAGTTTGGATTTTGAGGAAGAAGAGAAAGAGGAGGTTTATTATTACGATTCTGATGGCAAGCTTGTAAATTTATCAGAAAATGATGTTGATGATTGGGGTTGGAAGTAAAGGAGAAAAGGGTGCCAGCGGTTATGAGATGCTTTGACCGAGCCAAAATTTACGTGAAAGCAGGGAATGGCGGGAACGGAGTGGCGGAGTTTCGTCGCGAAAAGTACGTGCCTTTGGGGGAACCATCGGGAGGCGACGGAGGGAAAGGAGTGAATGTGCATTTGGACGTCGCTGGAGCGATGAATTCGCTGTTACCGTTTCGGAATTGTGTGCATTTTAGGGCGGGGAGAGGAGCGAACGGGCAAGGGAGGTTGATGTGGCGGTGAAAATGGCGCCGGCGACGGTGGTTAGAGAGGCGGGAAATGAGGAAGGTTTGTTGGACTTGGTGTATCCGGGGCAGCGGGCGTTGTTATTGCCTGGTGGGAGAGGTGGAAGAGGCAATGCTTCGTTTAAGTATGGGAATAACAAGGTGCCTAAGAATGCAGAGAATGGAGAAGAGGGTCCTGAAATGTGAGTTTTCTTTTTTACTATTACTAATATTTTTGGATGATCAATGCATTTCCCATTCTCTTCTATATCCTATATTTTTAGTTTTTTACATTGCTTTTGTTTTGGTTGTTAGTGTTTATACTTTATCCTGTTTCATAGATTCTTGCCATTCAAACATAAAAGGATTAAGTCGGATTCTAATTTCAGCACCTGTAGCCCGCGTTGAAGTACGAAAAAAAAGGACAAGGCTTTTTTACATTTCATGCATTTTGGTTTTAGTGCCAATCAAGATCCTACAATTTTTTACTCTCATTCTTGGCCACTATGAAACTAAGAGCAATTACTATCTTGCAATGGTTTTTTCTTTGTTTCTGCTAATATGCACATTAGGAATAATGGCATTCTTCAGCAGGTGGCGTGGAATTAGACCTAAAGGTGGTTGCAGATGTTGGTATAGTGGGTGCTCTAAATGCTGGAAAAAGCACCCTTCTGAGTGTAATAAGCGCTGCTCAGCCAGCAATAGCCAATAACCCTTTTACAACTTTACTTCCGAATCTGGATGTAGTTTCGTTTGATTATGCGTCTACCATGGCAGTTGCTGATTTTCCTGGTTTACTTGAAGGAGCACTCAGGTGTTTTGGCTTAGGTCGTGAGTTTCTACAGCACACTGAAAGACGTTCTGCACTGGTACAGACTTCTTGTCATACAGTGCAACTACTGTAATCCTTACTCATTAAAGACTAAATCCATAACTGCTTTTCATGCGTTATGGTAGTATGAATTCACTATGGCTCCTTAAACTATTAAATTTGATGTCCTGAGCTCATTTTCCAGTCAGTTTTTTATACCATTTATGCTTTTCACCAAGAAAGAAAGGGATAGGATTTATGTTTGATATTCACTAGTCTAATTGATAAAGGTAAAGGAAATGGCTTTTTAGGGTGACCACAATCTGATCTCTTCTTTCTGTTACATAGGTACATGTTGTTGATGGCTCTCAACAGGAACCAGAACTTGAGTTTGATGCTGTTCGGCTTGAGCTGGAATTTTTTAG